ACAGTCACACAGAATGGCCCAGGCTGAGCACTGAGAGATGCCAGGCCCCTGGCCTGGTCCTCATCCCACACTCCTGCTTCCCGAGCCCTGCGGCTCCCTTCAGGAGCTGAATAGGCACAGTGCCAGGCCAGATGGCGAAGATGGAAAAAACTGCCAAAAAGGAGGCTAACAGGAAGTGGAAGGAGGGAATCTAGGTGTGGGGGAGGGGCAGCACAGGTCCCTCTCCCCTAATCCTGCCTTGAAGAAGAGGTCAGGCTGTGGGAGAGAAGCAGGAATCAAAGAAATGGCAGCTGCCCCAGAAAAGAAGGAACACCAGGAAGGAGGGACTGGAGGCCCCCGTAGGAGGATCAATCTCTCCTTACTGATGTCAGGTAAGTATACCACTCATTACACATGTGTGTGCACAGACACAGACATACACACACGCTAAGAGATGTGCACACAAGATCCCTAGTAACATAGAAATCAGTGTCTATACAAATCCTGTAATATACATGTATGTGCACAGACAACTGGGCTGGGGAGGAAGAGAAAGAAGGCCCTGCCTTAGGGACAGTATCCTTACACAGACATAGAACCAGGCAGTTCACAAGCACGGGCGATCTCAACCCCAAGGCACTAAGGAGCAAAGAGACCGCGATACAGAGGCCCCGAGACTGCTCCTTCTATATCACCCAACCCAACACCGCTCACACACCAGAGGGTGTGCAGCCACCTTCCTTCTCCCTGTGTCTCTGTCCTTCAGCTTCCCACATACATACCCGGGGCCCAGGTTCCTTACCTCCTCAGGGCTTCTGGGATCTGTCCCATTGCCCTCTGAGCTGGGCTGGGCACTGCTCTTTGCTGAGATAAGCCAGAGGGGCAGGGCTGTTTTCTGCCAGAGGCAGGAAGTGAGAACAGGAGTGTAAAAGTGAGGTGCAGTCATGATCATTCCCTCACTCTCCTCCACACACCCTGTCCTGGTATCCAGCCTCTCTGGCGAACGATGTTGAGGGGGGCTGAAGAGAAAGGACCGGGGGTTGGGAACAATGAGAAGGGCAGGGGGAGGGGAATGCCTCCTCTCTGCCCAGTTCTTCCCCCATGCTCTTCCTGTGTTGCCCACCTCCCCACAAGCACCACATGCCTTGCTCTGTCTTTGCCTCCTCTTTCTTTCTTTCTGGATTTTTTTTTTTTTTTTTTTTTTTTGAGACAGAGTCTCGCACTGTCACCTGAGCTGGAGAGCAGTGGCGCGATCTCAGCTCACTGCAACCTCTGCCTCCTGGATTCACGCGATTCTCCTGCCTCGGCCCCCCCAGAGTAGCTGGGATTACAGGCATGCACCACCACACTCAGCTAATTTTTTGTATTTTTAGTAGAGACGGGGTTTCACTATGTTGGTCAGACTGGTCTCAAACTCCTGACCTTGTGATCTGCCTGCCCCGGCCACCCAAAGTGCTGGGATTACAGGCGTGCGCCACCGCACCTGGCCTGCCTCCTCTTTCAAATAATTCACATCCTGGGTCCCCCGACTCCAGTTCCTAGGGTCAGAGGTCTGAAAAGAAGGTTCTTACATCTCCCCATCCCCCTTGCCCCTGAGGATCAGCTCTGGAATAGGCCCAAGCTCATTTTAGAGTCTCGTGGCCCATCAGTGTCTCAGCCCCAACACAGGAAGTCCCTCTTTAGTACGTGCTCTAACCCATTCGCTGAATTGGCGAAGCCTACTTCCTCTGCTTCTGATTTCAGGCAGCGTTGGGAGGATGCACCCTTTCCCTACAGACAGGCTTCATCGTGAAGACTTAGTATCTCGGTATCCAGGCCCTCCAGACAGACCCCAGCTGTGCTGAGCCTCCAGCAGAAGCTTGGCTCGGTCTAAAGCCTTTGTGAAAAGCTCTGTCCCAGAGCTGTTTTGGGGGCACAAATGAATCCTTTTCTTCTGCTTATCCTGGGCCTGAGGGGCAGGGATGAGATGGAACACTAAATGGAACACGAGGATAAATCCTCATCCTGGAGGTTTAGAGACAATACAAAGTCCCCAGGGTGAGTGGGGAGGCCTCCTTCTGCCCCAGGGGCCACATTTTTCCTCAGAGAGGAGTCTCTGGCACGGTCCCTCGTGTCAGGTCGTGTCTTCCCTCCTCCCTGGCCCAAGTCTGCCTGCTTCTCCAGCCAAAATTCCTGCTCCTGCCTCTCCCCACCCTTCTCTACTGAAGCCTGTCTCTTCCTGCATTTCCAGCATCATCCTCGGCCCTGGCTTCTCCCTCCCTGAGTACTCTGACCTCATCCCTCCTGCCATGTGTCTGGGAAAAGGCAGAAAGTAAAGGTGGTCTACAGCTCAATAATTAGTTTCGCTGATGTGCGGATATCACCTTGCCATTGTGCGTCTCTCTTTACCCTGCTTTCGAGAGCTGGAAAAGCAAGAAAGTCAGTCCCAAGAGAAGCCACGGAGGAGGCAGGCCCAGCCCCCTGACATGTGCCCTGAGGTGGTCTGTGTGCATCTGACCCTTGCTTGTAGCCTGGCAAGTCCTGCTTCCTCAGGGAAATCCACTAGAGCCTGTGGGCCTTGCTGACCTCGCTTGACCTTAGTGTGCACTGGCTTCAGCCCTCACCCCTCTTGCCGGCTCCTTCTCCTGGGTTGGTTTTTTTGTTTTGTTTTGTTTTTTCTGAGATGGAGTCTCACTTGCTGTGTCACCCAGGCTGGAGTACAGTGGTGCAATCTCAGCTCACTGCGACCTCCGCCTCCCAGGTTCAAGCAATTCTCCTGCCTCAGTCTCCCGAGTAGCTGAGACTACAGGCACCTGCCACCACGCCTGGCTAATTTTTGTATTTTTAGTAGAGACGGGTTTTCACTATGTTGGCCAGGCTGGTCTTGAATGCTTGACCTCAGGTGATCCGCCCTCCTCAGCCTCCCAAAGTGTTGGGATTACAGGTATGAACCACTGTGCCCGGCCATTCTCCTGGGCTTTTTTAAACGCCCCTGGGCATAAAAGATTTCTGTCAGTAGGTATGTCCTGGAGTATGCACTGGGGGCAGCAGAGTGGGGAGAGCAGATGGTATCAGACAGATGGAGTTAGGCTCCAGTGCCTCTGAGTAGCCGGGAGGTGAGGCCTACATATACTGCATGCGAGTAAGTTTCTGTCTCACCTCAATCCCTGCCTCCACGTCCCACTAGGTCTGCAACTTTAGCTTTTACCCTAAAAGGAGGATTTCTGCTGGCCTGGGCAACATAGTGGGACCCCATCTCTAAAAAAAATTTTTTTACTACAGGTGCATGCCACCATGCCCAACTAATTTTTGCATTTTCAGTAGAGATGGGGTATTGCACCATGTTGGCTAGGATGGACTCAATCTCTTGACCTCGTGATCCACCCGCCTCAGCCTCCCAAAGTGCTGGAATTACAGGCGTGAGCCACCGTGCCCGGCTCTACAAAAACATGTCAAAAAATTAGCAGAGGCCGGGTGTGTGGCTCGTGCCTGTAATCCCAGCACTTTGGGAGGCAGAGGCGAATGGATTGCTCTAGCGCAGGAGTTCAAGACCAGCCTGGGCAACATGGCGAAACCCTGTCTCTACAAAAAAAAAAAAAAAAAAAAAAAAAAAAATTACAAAAATTAGCTGGTCATGGTGGCTCAAGCCTGTATGTCCAGCTACTCTGGAGGCTGAGGCAGGATAATAGCTTGAACCCAGGAGGTGGAATTTGCAGTGAGTCTAGATCGTGCCACTGCACTCCAGCCTGCATGACAGAGCAAGACTCCATCTCAAAAAAAAAAAAAACAAATTAACCGGGCATGGTGGTGCCTGCTTGTAGTCCCACGTACTCAGGAGGCTGAAGTGGGAGGATTGGTTGAACCCAGGAGTTTGAGGCTGCAGTGAGCCATGTTCAAGACCCTGCACTCCAGCCTGGGCAACAGAATGAGATCCTGTCTTAAAAAAAAAAAATGGCTGGGGGCGGTGGCTCATGCCTGTAATCCCAGCACTTTAGGAGGCCGAGGCAGGTGGATCACGAGGTCAGGATTTCAAGACCAGCCTGGCCAAGATGGTAAAACCCTGTCTCTATGAAAAATGCAAAAATTAGCCAGGCTTGGTGGTGCATGCCTGTAATCCCAGCTACTCGGGAGGCTGAGGCAGAGAATTGCTTGAACCCAGGAGGCAGAAGTTGTAGTGAGCCGAGATTGCACCACTACACTCCAGCCTGGGTGACAAAGGGAAACTGTGTCTTAAAATAAAATTTAAAAAAAAGGAGAAAAAGAACAAAAGTAGTAGTTCTGGAGATCCAATCTGGTGGAGGTCCCCGTCTTGTCATGGGAGCCCCACAACCACGGGTAACAGGTAGGCCCCATCCTCACGGTGTGATGCAAAGGTATCATAAAGCCCTGCTGACCTCCAAATACGTCCCCCACCCCCAAAATTCCATCCCCTCAAGCCACAGTCTATCAGAGCCATAGGGACATCGAAGATCATCAGTCTAATCCCCTTATATAGATGCAGCTTTTGGGTTAAGGCAGCACTTCCTGAAGACCCCATGCAGTGCACCTGGGCTAGCTGGGAAGGAGAACACTGAGAACACGTCTGTGCCAGTCAACCCATTAACAAGTTTGATTAGATCAGCCCATTGGCATCTGCCTGGCCCTGGGGGATGAGTGGTGTAGGGATTGAGGTTTAACTGGAAGTGGAAAAAGGGTGTAAACAGACCCCAGAGGGTCCTCCCTGAGAAGCCCAGGGCTCAGTACCACAGTGGGGGCCTAAGGGGGGAGGGGGAGGACACAGCCTCTGCGAGATGGCCCAGAGTGGGGTCTTCAAGCGTCAAAAAGGGGCACCCCCGGGGTGTAGCAGGCATGTTAGCTGTTTGTCCAGCTCCATCTGAAAAGATCTATTTGAGGCAACTCCTTTCGGCTTTTTACTCTGTTCAGAAGGGTTTTCCAGGGCCATGCCCACCCTCATCTCTGTCCCCCACCCAAGTCCCCCATTTCTCCAGGGGGATGCTTCCCCTTGTGCTCCCTGTGCAGTTCAATTCGTGACACCCCCATACCTGTGCTCCGTGTTGCTCTGCGCTGCCCCAAGCTGGATTCCGCTGTGTGCTCTGGGCTGGGCTGGGCTGGTAGGACCTGCTCTCCGGGTGGGAGGGGCACACCCACCTCAGCAGATCTCAGCACATCCCTCCCAGCTCAGTGCACTCACCCAACCCCACATGGGCCAAGGACAGAGTGAAGAGGAATTGCCCTCAGAGGCCTTCCCAGACTGGCCAGAGAAAAAACCCCAGCAGCTAAGGATACTTAATCCAGCCCCGACTCTTGCTGACTGGGAACTGCCCCCACCCATCGTTCAGATATTCCTGCTGTGTCTGGGAACTCTTCCTGGCACACCCACCGTCGGATGCCAGATGACTAACCCACCAGCCTCTCGCTGTCCTCACCAGTTCCCCCTGGGTGTCTCTCTTCCTTTCCTGGGTCTGCCAGGTGGTTTAGCCCATGCCACTCGTGGCTTGTGCCCCACCCTGCCCGGGGCCCTCTGCATGACAGTGCTCTGCTAGGTCCTGCTTCCCACTGAGAACACTTGGCTCCTGCATCGAGCAGTCACTAGGCGGGATGGTTCCTCTTTGCTTAGGTCTCTTTCCCCTCAGCCCCTTGTCTTGTGTCCTTGGGACAGGGGACACAGAGACAAGGGGCCCTGTAGGCACGGGGCTGGGCATGTTGTCTATGCTCACTAAACAGAAACAAGTTCAAGTGTTTTGGTGGCAGGCGGAAAAGGGATTGTAGTGAAGTGAGTTTGGGCAGCTATAGGTTAAACACGTTTCTCTGTTACTGAGCTCTAGAGGGCCTTTGACATGCTGTGAAATGACAGGCCTCGTGTTGACAATGGAAACTGGGTGAAGGGTACAAGAGGGTGCATTATACTTTTCTATTTTTGTGTATGTTTGAACTCTCATAGTAAGTGAGCTTTAACAAAATACTGTTAATTACCATGAACCTACAGAAGGGACAGAGACTCTACAGTGTCCCCGGAACATACTTTGGGATATTTCAAGTTATTAAAGGCCAGTGCTGGAGTCATACCTCAATGTAGGTTGTTCAGATGCAACCACTTAAACATCTGGATCATCTGGCAAATTCCTGGACTTCCTGTAATCCCAACACTTTGGGTTTCCTTCCTGTAATCCCAACACTTTGGGAGGCCGAGCTGGGAAAATTGCTTGCGCCCAGGAGTTTGAGACCAACCTGGGCAACATGGAGAGACCCCATCTCTACAAAAAATTTTAAAAATTAGCCACACATAGTGACACATTCCTGTGATCACAGGTAACTGAGAGGCTGAGGTAGGAGTATGGCTGGAGCCTAGGAGGTGGAGACTGCAGTGGGTGGTGATCACGCCACTGCACTCCAGCCTGGGTGACAGAGCGAAACCCTGTCTCAAAAACAAAAACAAAAACAAATCAACAACAACAACAAAACAACCCCAAGGTTTCCTGATCTAGGCTGTAGTTCCTGGTTTTTCCCTTCCTCATAAAGTGCAAGCTACACCCTCCCTATAACCCAGGATTGGTCCCTTTGGACAAGGTCTCATCAGGCTTTGGCCTTTACCCTACAGAAGAACAATACTACACTTGCATCTGACATCATGGGGCTTAGGGCTTCAGAAGTGAAGGCACACACCTGCCTTCATGCCCACATCGTCCTCAGGGCCCCAGCCTTCTTGGCCTTCCTCAGTTCACCTCTCTGGGTTCTCAGGTCTGTTCCTCCTGGCAGATGGCCGCTTCCCTCAGTACCATTCCTATGAGATTCTCTCACCGGCAAGTGGATCCATAAAACCGGGGGCTGGGGACTGACTGCCATGGAGCAGGGTAGCAGTGCTGAGGATGGGGATCCCAACCACAATAGGCCACACAGGCTGAAGATCAACACTTTATGTAAAGTCATCTTTGAAGGAGGGCGCAGCTCCCGCTGTGGCCCTCTCTGGGACTGCTGCTCCAACCCAAGGAAATGTGAGCAGGGGCCGAGTAACAGACCCAGAAGGGGCAGCCTGAAAGCAAACCGACAGATGGGGTCTAAAAACAATAGAGAATGTGGGCAGGTTGGGCTGGGGTGCAGACAGACGAGATGCCAGCTCATCCGAACTGGCCTAGAGTCAAGGTGCTGAACTCCTGGCTCCATCGAAGCACAACTTCCTCACTTTTGCCAGGGCTCAGTACACTGTAAGTCTCGTTCTGCAGACATCTCATGCGGGACACCTACACAGGGATTCAGGGCAGACAGTCTGTATCACAGAACCAGGCGCCAGGAGTGGGGAGGAGGGGAGGTGTCAGAAACCCAAAAGAGAGAGGTGGGCAGGCATGAGCACAGGGCAGTAGAGGGAAGGAGGAAACTCAAATGTGGCTTTTTAAGGCCAGAGGAGACATCAAGCAGCCCAGCCCCTTTCCTGCAGAAACAGGCAGCTGAGGCTCAGCGGGGGAAGTGCCTCATCCCAGGCTACTTGGTGAGTAAGAACAGGAGACAGACCGAGACCGAGACCTCAACGTCCAATTCCCAGCCCAGCTGAGGGTTCTTCCTGTGGTGCTCTCAGGGCCCTCCTGTTATCCACCACCTGCCTGGGAGGGCCTTGCTTCCTCCAGGACTGGAGGAATGGAGGAGAGCCTGCTGGTGGAGGCCTCTGCCCCAAAGATGCAAGCAGGGAAGCGCTTTCCACATCCTAGCTGCTTGCAGAGGGGGCCTCAGAATAGACCAATTGTGGTGACTGATTGAGGCGGTGCTGGGAGAAGGAGGGGCAAGGTAGAGGTGCTCACCTTCCGATTCCGGTTTCTCATCAGACACTGCTGGCTTTTGAAGGAACAGTAGTTTGGGTACTGGATATAGTCTGTGTCACAAATCTAAGCCAAGAGCCAGCGGGAGGGAAAGAGATATCAGAAGTCTCACCGGACAGCAGTGCTCCAGGGGGTACCTGCTAGGACAGAGCCAGGGGCAGGGTGTGGCCCAAGACCCAGGCCTTCCACACACAGATGGCCACTCACTCTGCTTTCCCTCTGCCTTTCCCCTCCCATTCTGTCACAGGTTGCTGGGAAGAAGCCAGGAGCCTGGGAGAGTACGAGGCTGCTGGTCAACCTACTGCGAAAGTGGCTGAGGAAGTGGGAATGGGGCAGGACGGGGCAGATAAGGGTCCAGAACATGGGACAGGGACCCAATTAGCGGCCTGATGTCAAGGATTTTTCTGGTAATGGTAGATGAGGGAAGGAGGAAGAGAATCTCCAATGTGTGATGGTGGTGAGTCACTTCCTTCTTTGGACCTCACCTGCCCATTCCAGATCAAGGGGCCTAGGGACCAGAGCTGGACATGGGCCCCTCAGCTCAGCTACTTGCTTCAGCTGCCCTTACTTTTCCTTGCCTTAGTTTTCCCTGCTAACTACAGAAGGAGAGGCCTGGCTCTTGGCAACAACAGGTCATGCCACAGGGAAGGTAACTCAGGGGAATGGGGAGCCAAGTTGATTTTACTGAGCAGGGAAGGCACTGGAAGAGCTGGGAAGAGCCCGTCAGGCTGAGGCCAGGAAGTCCTGGATTACAGGGTTGGGCAGTGGTGCATGTGTCAGTCATTTCTTGTAGAGATGATTAACTTTGGTTGAGTGGAAGTGACTTGATCACAGCCACTCAGCAAGCAACTGGCAAAGCTGGGACCAGAACCTCTAGCTCCTGTGCTTTCTCAGCCCTCCAGGTCCCCACTCCTTTGCCTGCTCTATTGGTGGAGGGTGGCGGGGGTGCAATGGTCTGTTGGAGAGAGGCAGGACGTTCAGTCAGGACTGGTTCTCAGAAGCCGGGGGCCCAAGCCCCCTTCCACAAACTAGGGCTACCCACAGCAAGTAATTGCAAGGAATGGGGTGAGGGTGGGGATGGGGCTGAGCTTTGGGGAAAGGCTCTGACCTTGGTGGGGAAATCCCCATCCTGGAAACTAAGGAACTCAGTCTGGAGCCACCCAGAGACTCGAACATCTTCACAGCCCTTCGTGGCAAGCCGGGCACACCAGAAGTCCATGCGGAGCCCGCCGTACAAATCCAGCCCGTAAAAGTGGCCTGATTCTGGGGACCCTACCTGTGGCACAGGAGATAGGGGAGAGAAGCATGCCCCTCCCCTCCTGCTGGCCTCCTCCTACCCCACTTCCACCACCCAGTTCTGCCTTTCCCACTGCAGGCTGCCGGGCTAGGTACCTGGTTGCCTATGGACAGGCTCTGGGAGGCAAGCAAGGGGCTGACAAAGGGTGTCTTGTGGGAGGTGTCACATTGTTGCCGCTGCAGGCTGGCCTCTGAGTGGCATTGCTCCAGCTTCAGGGAGCAGAAGTCACAGAGGGCACAGGTAGACAAGTGTCGCCGCCCAAGGCTGTCACAGACCTGGGGCAGGAGAATGGGCGAGGCTGAAGCTGAGAGTCAGCGGCCTGCCTTCTCGCATGCCTCAGCCCTCCAGGGTGGCCCTGCAGAACGTCTTTGCATTTAGCCTCTTCCAAAAGCTTCTCTAGTTTTCTACTTGTCCTCCTCCTCAACGGGTCCTCAAGGACCTTGACTTAGCTATTCCTTCACCTTCTTCCTGGATGATTGATCTATACTCCTAGGTAATCATCTATCTGCGGGTGACACCCAAATCTTTATCACCAGCTCTCATCTCTTTCCTGGGCTCCAAATCCTCATTGCCAAGTGTCTGACAGATGCCTGTGATCAGGTGATCTTACAGTTACCCCAACTTAGCCTATCTGAAAAGAACTCATAACCCTCCCCTGCAACCTGCTAATGATAATGCTAATATTTACAAAGAGGTGACACGGTGCCAGCACTATGGACACACATGCTCTCATCTCATTTAGTCTTCACAAGAACCCTGTAATAGCAGAGGTACTAATATTACTCTCATTTACTGACAAGGAAACTGACTCTCAGTGAGGCTGAGTAAGTTGCTCAAAGCCACCTATCTATCAGATGGGGAAGCTGGGACATGGGTCCAGGTCCTTCCAACTCTAAAACCTATGCTCTACCCACGTACTGGGGTTGGAAACCTCCAAGTTCTCAGAAGCTATTCTTCAGAGTGGAGTTACCAACCTCCCAGCTGGATCCTGCCCTCAGCTTCCTCAGCACTAGCAGGAGATCTTGCTAAGCAGCATCTTTAGTCAATCCCATGGGCCTCCTTCCTCCCCCATGGGCACAGCCTGTCACAGTGCATGAAATCTCCTACAGCACCTTGCCTGCTCCTCCCACGTAAGGGAGGCATCACGTCCCCGACCAGAAATCTTGACTGGATTCCCCTTTCCTATCAAATTAAGTGCAAATGCTCATGCTGCCATTCAAGAGTTTTCACATCATGACCCTGTTGATTTCTTTGACTCTGTCTCCTGCTGCTCTGCTCCAGGTAAAAGGGACTCACTCCTTACTGTCCTCTTATCTACGCCATCAAATCCAGTGAGCTCCCTCCATAAAACCCCGAACTTCTCACATTTTGTTTAAGAACCTCACCTACCACACTCCTTTTGTAACATTACTGTATCCATATTAGCCCCCTCATGGGTTCTTGGCCCCTTAAGAGCAGAAACAGCGTGCTCATTGTTAGCATACTAATTTCACTCATGAAATTTCTCCTCTTCTTTGGGCCAGGCACGGGGGCTCATGCCTGTAATTCCAGCTGAGTGGAAGTCGCTGAGACGGATTCCTTGAGCCCAGGAGTTTGAGATCAGCCTGGGCAACATGG